CACTCTCAGCCCCAAGGCGGAGGGCCCGCAGGGTCAGAGGCGGGCGGAGAGCGCAGGGCACGCTGGCCTCATGGCGGCCCGGGGGCAGAGAGCAGGGGAGCGGAGCTGCGGATGTGCCCTACAGGGCAGGCTCTAGGACCACGGAGGCCGGGGGCAGCGGCGTGGCCGGAAGCGGTGCGCTGGGCGTGCCAGTTCAAAAGAGCGCTGGGGAGCCAGGAGAGGGGGAGGAAGTGGGGGCCGTATTAAATCGGAACACGGGCCGCAATTGGCCCGTGGGCCAGACTTTGGACATGCCTGCTATTAGACCTTTAAAAATAGTCTGAAGAAGCCTGAAGTAAAGTTTCACAAGGACAGGTTTCCTTTAATAAGTTATTTAGGTCTTCCCACAACCATCTCAGAACACTACCTGAATTGCTATGGTCATGACATCCTCTAGAAAAGATATATTTGGGTCTACCTGCACTTTCACAGGGTCATTTTTTCTGTCAGTTTCAACCATAGGGGGGGGGGGAGAAGTGGGGGCCGTATTAAATCCGAACGCGGGCCGCAATTGGCCCGTGGGCCAGACTTTGGACATGCCTGCTATTAGACCTTTAAAAATAGTCTGAAGAAGCCTGAAGTAAAAGTTCACAATGGACAGGTTTCCTTTAATAAGTTATTTAGGTCTTCCCACAACCATCTCAGAACACTACCTGAATTGCTATGGTCATGACATCCTCTAGAAAAGATATATTTGGGTCTACCTGCACTTTCACAGGGTCATTTTTTCTGTCAGTTTCAACCATAGATGATCAGATTATACTGGAGATTTGGAAGGCTTACAGACTTTCTGTGTAATTCCCACATTAGTAGAGTAAGGACAAAGGCTATCTTCAGATAGCTGGCAATGAAGGGTAAAAGAGAGACAGGTCTCCCACAAGGCAGCTAAGTCAAACCAAAGTCCCTGGCTGCCAATGTTCATTTTCAGTAGGACCTTGTGACCCAGTGCAGATGCACGACTAATTGGTGAGGGGCTTCTGCTCAAATGCATCAAGAAAGGTCCCCAAGATGGGAATTAGTGCACTAATTAATGCCATTCAAGTTAATTAGAACTAAGCTCCAAACACCAGACTGGAATGGGCGCCAGAAATAAAGGGCAGTAGTCTCAGCAATGGGAAAGAGGAATATTTTCTTACTTTGGAACTCTTAGCTAGCACAGGAGCCGGTAACTTAATCTTTGACTTAATCTTAATTAGTAACATGAATTTTCCTTTCAATACCAAAGTCTTCAGAATGGGAATTTCTTACTCCCAGGTCATTACAGATACATTGTGTACTTTAAGAAAGGAGACAGGACCACAATTGCCTAGTCTGTTACCGCTAATGAAGAATGTTGAGTCAGCCTGATGTCCCCTATCTTCCACCTACCAGAATACCCATATCTTCTTCTCTCAGACTTAGATATCCTAACACTGGATCTTCAAATATTCACAGATTTAGTGAGTTTAAAGTCAGAAGGCACCATCAGATGATCTTGTATGGGCTTCTGTGTATTAAATTTCACTCAGTTATTCTTTGTACTGAGCTTAATCATTTGTTCTTTGACTACCATATATTTTTCAGAAAGATACCCAACCTCGATCTGATAAATTCAAGAGATAGTGAATCAATTGCTTCCCTTGGCAATTTGTTCCGGTGGTTAATCACCCCCCTCCTCCAACTAAAACTCAGTGCTGCATTCTACTTTAAATTTGTTTGGCTTCAGCTTCCAGCCATTGCTGGTTCCTATGCATTTCTCCACTAGACTAAATATAAAGCTCTTCAGTGATAGGGTATTTTCTTCCAAAGGGCCTCCATTGCAAGGATAAGATCTGAAATTTCATTCTCGAATGGGCAGATTGGAAATGTTACGGCAGATGTGCCAGAAAGCCCCCTTCACCCAAGCATCTAGGAAAACAAGTACGAGTCTGAGATAGGAAATTTGTTGTTACAAGCAGGTATGTCTGAAACCCCATTTTGGGGGCTAACTCTACCAACTCTTTAGTGATGCATGTTATTAGTAATTAAGTTTTAGGAAAAATATAAGTCTGATGTAAAAATGTCAGCCTCCCCGAGAATGGGGCTGCCAGTCCTTGCTCGCCTACCTCCTGGGGACTTTGCTGCAGCGAACAAAAACATACCACCATGCCATCATTGAGAAACAACCATAGATAAGTTTGTGATAAGAACCAGCAGCTTATAAAAAGAGGTAATTGATGAAAAAATTGTCTGGTTTGTTTATGCAACAAATTCTCCTTTCCATATAACTGAGAATCCACACTAACAACATGGTTCAGTCATTAAAACCAGGATGCAGTCCACCCAACAGAGCAGAGGTCACAGGCAAATTGGTAGATAAAGTTCATGAATGAAATTGAGAAGTGCCCAAAAAGTCTAGAGGGTAAAATTGTTAGCCTAATTCTGATGGGTGAAGTAATATCCAAAGATCCTGCTGTATTTGTGTGACAACAGAAGAAGAGAATGACTTTCTTAAAGAAAAAAACGGATGCATCAGGAAATGCACATACAGCAGAATACTTACAAGAAGAAGTAGCAGTAAAAGCTATAACAAACTGTGAAAAATAATTTAAACTAGCAGGTGAGGCCAGTGGTTGATTGGGGAAAGTCATTTTGTATAGATTACACTTATATTTAATTTCTTGAATTTTCAAATATGTAATAGAATTTATTAATGTGCTTGCAAAGGAAAGTAAAAGAACAGTTTTAAATTTGTAGGATTTCAACTTCAAACATCATTCATTTTGTTGAACAACCACCATACATAGTACACCTGAATCAAATTCATAAAGCTTCCATTACTCTTTCCGTAACTATTTTGATTACGTGATTTGTAACAAATGTTCTTTGCACTACAATGTTGAATAGGTGACTAGATTTTGTTAGAGTGCATAAAAATATTTGCTAATAATAGTCACGAATTTTTTCCAACAAAAACAAAAATAATTATTTAAACCTTTTACCCAGCATATTCTGGTTAAAAGTTAGTGCATTCAGATAACTTAAGTGGCAGGATTGCTTATGCACACTTCGTTCTCTGTAGGTAATCATGAAGTATGACTTAATTTTGCACAAACAAATCCACAAACTCTTCAAAATGTAATGTCACAGACAATGCTGCAAAGTATCCACAACAAGAAGAAATTCAGAAGAGAGTCCCAAGCTAATAACGTTGGCTATGTCTAGACTACATGCCTCTGCCGACAGAGGCATGTAAACTAGGCTAACCCACATAGTCAAAGAAGCTGGGATTTAAATATCTCCGGCTTCATTAAAATAAACATTGCCACCGCGCTGTGCCGACTCAGCTGATCGTCAGCACAGTGCGCAAGTCAAAACGCAGATCGGTCGACAGCAGAAGCCTTTGTCCACCGCTCCTGTAAACCTTGTTTCACTATAAGAATATAAACTATGCTGCGGTTCCCCCACTTATCAAGTAGTTGATGGAAATTCCACTAACTAGTCAATTAGTTGATTAAATTTAACATCTCTACACACAAAACCTATTTACTGAACCAGATCTGCTCAATCAAACTCCAGCAATTTTTCTATAGACGGATATAAATCTTTAAGGACGCACAGGACTGCCATGATCATATTCCAGCCACACCCCAATTTTAAAATAAATTTCAAATCATCACATCAGCAGCACCTCTTTAAAGAAAAAGATCTGTGTTTTTAAAATGCAACCCTACCTAAACAGATGGTCCTAGCTTCATACACAAGCAGAATATAAGTATATTCATAATAAGCTTATCCAAGTTAATTTCTTCCTACACCATTGATGGAAAAACTAAAACTAGTATCTTGGATACTTAATTCTGAAAATAGATGGGACTAGAGAATAATCTCCTGCAATTTTTTTCTTAACAAGGGACATACATTTGAGTGATCATACTATTTTGAATGCTATTACAGTTAGTTTAGTTTTATATTCTTACATCCTAAAAGCCAGTTAGATGGCTCTTGTATGGAATTTTTGGGAAAAAACCACTAATACCATACCAAGATCTTGTAGACCAATTTCAGCACAGAATACACTGTAGAAATCTTAACACAGATATATAGGCTTATAAACACCAATAGCCACTTAGCTACAGTCACTCTACTGGAAAAAGTTACACAAGGATGCAATCACTGGTTGACTATAAGTTATATAATTGCTTGCCAACACTACTCCAATTCAAATAAAATAGCTCTCAGATTACAGAGATACTGTTCTTATTTATAGCATCAGTCACATCTCTCAAAAGCGTTTGCATGTGGTAGATCTTCTATGTACTCTGCCCATCACTGCTTGCTGATGTATGCATTGACAGAGCAGAACTCAACAAGAACACAGGATGATTGTATCCATGCAAGAGTTTTACTTGTAGAAAGTTGCATATTCAAATTAGCTAGCCTTCTAATGTATTTAATTCTGCAGCAGATATTATAAGAGAAGCACTTTATGAATTAAATCATGGTCATCCCAAATATCTGGTGGCACCCAGATAGGGGAAATCATGAATGGTCATCCCAAATATCTGGTGGCACCCAGATAGGGCAGAAGTAATGAGGGATCTCAAGGGCAGAAGTAATGAGGGATCTCAAGGACTTGTTTCTTCCAAATCAGACCATAGGAGACTAAGTAGAACTACTTCTGTGATTGCCTACTGAGGGGACTGCAAGGAAGAATTGAGATGACAGGCCCATGGAATAAGTAGAGAAGAGTGACAGAAAAAAAAAAAGAGTAAAAGATCTAATAATTGATGGACTCATCAAGGAAATCCTGTATACTCTTCTTAATTATACAGGCCACTAACATTTAAAGAACGTTTTCAAAATCTGGCTTTTAGTAACCGGAAATATATAAGTTTGAAGAGTGCTTTTTGGGTAACAGATAAGCAGAGAAAATAGATGTGTCAATATTTACTCACACTGGGGAAGACACTTCATAAATCACTGTATTGAAGATCACTGACCTCTCACTAACTGCGTACATTTCACAACATCTGTGTGTGGATGTTCAATGGTAATCTCAAAACCTGAAAAATTAAGAATTTGTTTCAGAAGTTGCAGTACATTTGTATTTATACAAAACAAAGATCTAATGTGTCAAATGCCACTCTCTGCAGCTCATGAACACTGCAGTGCTTCCCTCCCTAAAGTCAATAAGCCACATCAGGGAATTGTGATTTGACCCTCATTTCACAACAATTCTTTTGTAAACAATATGGAATAAATTCAGTAAAAATATGCTTTATATGGCTTTCAGTCAGAGTTCTCATTTGCTAATATGAAACATTCACATACTTTGTGGCTCAGAAAATGGTTTAAGTTTCTAATCATAAAATGAAATTATTCTACAAGTGGTGATGTCACTAAGAATAATGATGACCATGTCATCCAGAGTACTTTTGTGGTTTAGTTTTTATAACAGCAGGAAAAACAAAAGCGATACAACTGTGGTATAAAGCTTTTCCCATTTGCTTGAAGAGGCCTGCAGATTTCAGTTTAGCATGTGACTAAGTTCATACATCTCTATGTGGCTCTTCCAGTAAATCAAAAGTTGACATTTCAGTAGTTTATAAATGCAATTTGAATAAAAATATTGAATATATTTAATAACTGTCCAATTTTTGAAATGCTGTTATGCATTGATCAGTGTTTAGATATTGATTTTAATGCCAAATCTATCTGAAAAATTGTGCAGGCAAGATGCCATTTAATATAACATACCTAAAGTCTGAAGCATTATTGTTTCAAGTATAACCAGTTCTTGGGCCTGCTGAAGGTATGCCTGAAATGTTAAAAAAAAAAAGTTACTATCAAGACCTACTAGAGAAATGTATTTTACTTACCAAAGTCTCAAATAGAAACGGCACAGACAACATGGTAAGACCTCAAATGTACTTACGTTTGATTTACTATGTTCTGATACACATCTGGATTGTCAATTAAAAGTTAACTATTTGAGAAAATTTCCTTGCTCTCACAAAGGTAATTTAGCCACTCACTGGGAGCATAAATAAAATCTGAGAGAACTATTTTCATAATTGAGCATGAAAATAAGTACTGTATTCCACAAGAAAATATGATTGCTGCCTGATGGGGAATTTTCCTATTCCAATAGAGTAGAACCTCAGAATTACAAACTGACCAGTTAATTACACGCCTCGTTTGGAACTGCACGAAAGTCATGCAGCAGCAGAAACCAGAAAAAGAAAAATGTATATAAAAGATTTAACAAGGTAATGAAACTGTTTCTCTGCTTGTTTCATTTAAATTAAAATGGTTGAAAGCATCATCTTCTGCACAGTAAAGTTTCAAAGCTGTATTAAGCCAATAGTCAGTTGTAACTTTTGAAAGAACTTTTCATAGAATCATAGGACTGGAAGGGACCTCAAGAGGTCATCGAGTCCAGCCCCCCGCCCTCAAGGCAGGACCAAGCTCCATCTACACCATCCCTGACAGATGTCTATCTAACCTGTTCTTAAATATCTCCAGAGAGGGAGATTCCACCACCTCCCTTGGCAATTTATTCCAATATTTGACCACCCTGACAGTTAGGAATGTTTTCCTAATGTCCAATCTAAACCTCCCCTGCTGCACTTTAAGCCCATTACTCCTTGTCCTGTCCTCAGAAACCAAGAGAAACAAATTTTCTCCTTCCTCCTTGTGACACCCTTTTAGATATTTGAAAACCACTATCATGTCCCCCCTTAATCTTCGTTTTTCCAAACTAAACAAGCCCAGTTCATGAAGCCTGGCTTCATAGGTCATGCTCTCTAGACCTTTAATCATTCTTGTCGCTCTTCTCTGTACCCTTTCCAATTTCTCCACATCTTTCTTGAAATGTGGCGCCCAGAACTGGACACAGTACTCCAGCTGAGGCCTAACTAGCGCAGAGTAGAGCGGCAGAATGACTTCACGAGTTTTGCTTACAACACACCTGTTAATACAACCTAGAATCATATTTGCTTTTTTTGCAACAGCATCACACTGTTGACTCATATTCAACTTGTGGTCCACTATGACCCCTAGATCCCTTTCCGCCATGCTCCTTCCTAGACAGTCGCTTCCCATCTTGTATGTATGGAACTGATTGTTCCTTCCTAAGTGGAGCACTCTGCATTTCTCCTTATTAAACCTCATCCTGTTTACCTCCGACCATTTCTCTAACTTGCTAAGGTCATTTTGAATTATGTCCCTATCCTCCAAAGAAGTTGCAACCCCACCCAGTTTGGTATCATCTGCAAACTTAATAAGAGTACTCTCTATCCCAATATCTACATCATTGATGAAGATATTGAACAGTACGGGTCCCAAAACAGACCCTTGAGGAACTCCACTTGTTATCCCTTTCCAGCAGGATTTAGAACCGTTAACAACAACTCTCTGACTACGGTTATCCAGCCAATTATGCACCCACCTTATCGTGGCCCTATCTAAGTTATATTTGCCTAGTTTATCAATAAGATTTTGAAAGTAATGTTTTCTGTTCCAGTATGAACATTTCAATTACGATCAAACTCTATTCCCAAGATGTTTCTAACGGAGGTTCTATTATTGATAAGTAAGGCAAAACATTTATCAGCTTCTAAACTAGTATTAAAAACACACCCAGCATGTAAAAGTTACTGTGTCCTTATGATATGTTAATCAATATTAACCTATGTACCTATCACAAAAGTTAACTGAAAATACAGTAGAAAAGTTATTATATGCACTAGTGTCCAAACAAAAAGGGAATGACACACTTTAGTTTTCATGAAACATTAGTAATCATGATAGGTCCAGTAATGACTATACTATTAAATTACATGCAAGACAAATTAATGATTTAAATATTGGAAGTGTCTTCTATATCTGGCTGAGGATATTAATCCAGTCAAGAAATTCATCTGATGTGCCAACTGTATCTTGAGAAGAATTTCAATTAGGTTTAAAACATCACATCCACATACATCACTTTTTGTATCCAGCTGTTGCTCTTGAGGATGAAGGCAGGCATGTGCTACTTTGATAACATGTTCCAGTTTTCGTGGCTGTTCTTCTACTTTAGCAGCCAAAAACAATGCAGTAGGAGAAATTATCTGTAAGAGATGGTAATTTTTAGTTTTGAAAAAAATTATTCTTTTCTGCAAGCAGGGCTTAGAGTTACATGGAGAATGTGAACTGCAAAATGTATTAAAAAGTTTATACTAGAGATGAGAAAATATACAGAGTAAAAAATGAGAGTTACTCTAGTTGAATTTCAGTATCAGCATTCTCCTGCTCACCTAAAGAGAAAAAAATTGTAAGCATTAAACCAGTGGTTTTCAAACTCTTGTGACCCAGCTGAAAAAACTGTTGATGCCTGCAACCTATCAAAATATCTTTTGATTAGAATGCAGGCTATGTGGTGGGGCCAGGAATGACAGAGGGGGCCTCAGGGATGAGGAAGGAGACTGGGACATAGGCTTACTTCCAGCGGCTCCTGGTCAGTAGTGCTGCAGGGACACTAAGGCAGGTTTTCTGCTTGTCCTTGCACCTCAGCCCATACTGTACCCCAGAAGTGACCAGCACCCACTGCCCCACCCCCCAAAAGCTTCCATTGGACAGGAACCAACTAATGGGAGTGAGGAGCTAGTAGTTAGGGCAGGGGCAACACTTAGAATTCCGGAGACTTCTTATGTAGGAGCCAAACCTATTGGCGTCCACTGCTGGGGCACACCTAACAGCAAAGTGACCCAGTGCTTGACCTTCCGAGACCCAGTACTGACCCATACTTTGAAAACCACATCAAACTGTACTATGATCAAGAAATGTTTCAAGCTAAATTAATTCCAACAAATAGCTGACATTACTTCATCAAACAGTCATCAAACCAAGAAGAGCTGATTCCATTTTAGATTTAGTAGTTCTGGTAAGTAGCAAGAATCTCACTGAAGAACTGGCTGTAGAGGAAAACCTTGGTTCCAGTGTTTCATGAACTTAATTAAAACTAAATTAAATAGAAGGATAAACATAAATAGTCTGTAATTATGGCCCTTCATTTCAAAAGAGCAAACTTTAGTAAATTAGGACAATTAGTTTGGGGAAAAAAGGCTCTTAATGTGAAAGATGATTGGATGATTGTCAAAATTGTAGACATTTGAAGCCTGCACCCCCAAATAAGGAGAAAAAAAATTGTAGGCAAAGGCTACGGACCAAATTGAATGAACAAGAATCTCAAATTATTAAGAAAAAGCAGAAATCCGACAAGCAACAGAAGAAGGGATGGATCAACAAGAAAAGCTGCCTCTTCAAGGTCAGAAACTGTAAGAGAGAAATAATGAGAACTGCCAAAAGCTATGCAGAGTTGGACTATGCAAAGGAAATTAAAACCAATAGTAAAAAGCTTTTTAGTTGTATAAATAAAAAGAAAACAAGTAAAAGAAGAAGAAGGGATTGCTAAGCACTGACAGGTTACTTTCTGCAATTAGAAAGCATGGTACAACACCTAACTGATTTTTTTGGTCTCAGTTTTTAATAAGGGTAACAAGGAACTCAGGGCTAGCAGCTCTGTGGCAAATGGATTTGAAGATAAGGAAGTTGAAAATTACCACACCCAAGATAGAAGTTAAATTTGATCCCTTTTAAAACTGTTAAATCAGGGGACCAGAATCTCTATCCATTAATATTAAAGGAACTTGCACATGAAACTGCAAGCCCTACAGCAAGTACTCGATGACTGAAGCATTGCTAATGTACTATCCATTTTTAAGGAAAAATGTGATCTAGGAAACAATGCTGTCAGTTGACCTCAATTCCATGAAAGGCCCTAGAAATATATTTGAAAAAGCAAGTAGTTATTAATATAGAGGTAAATGGTAACTGGAAAAAAAATACACACAACACGGTTTTAACAAAAGACCTATGGTTAGACCAACTGATGTCTTTCTTTAAGATTTCTTTTTTGTAGAAAATAAGGTATGCAGCAGATCGAAGCTGGATTTCAGTAATGCATGACATTTCCACATGGAAAATTAGTTAAATTGGAGAAGATGGGGATTAAAATGAGAATTCAAAAGTAGGAAAAGGAAATAAAGGGGAGACTACAACACAAAGAAAGGTAAACTCCCAGATTGGAGGGAGATTACCAGTGGAGTTCACCAGGGATCAGTCTCTGGACTAATATTATTTAACATTTTCATTGGTGATTTGGCATAAATAGTGCAAATGTGTTGTTAAAATCTGTGAATACCACAAAGTTGGGAGGTATTGCCAATATAGAAGAGGACCTGACTATTATACAAGATTTGAAAACTCGAGTAATGGAAAAATGTAATTGTTTAAGACTTTCTATCCATCAGCTGAACACATCAATTGGAAGCAACAAAGCAGGAGAAAGACCTGGCTGTACTGCTTGATCACAGGATGACTGAGTCGCCAATATGATGCAGGCATTAAAATGGTTTGTGCAATCAGGATGAATCTGACAACGTAATTCCAATAGCTCTAGAGAAGTGTTATTACCATTATAAGACACTGGTGAGACCTCATCGGAACAAATGTGATCTCCTATGTTTAAGAAAAATTAATTCAAACAGACAGGTGAGGAGCAAAAGATAATCAGAGGAATGGAGAACGGTCCTTATGTGAGAACATGTTAGGTGCTTGTTTAAAAGTCTCAGGAGAGCCGTGTTAGTTTGTAATTTTAAAAATGAGTAGTGGAGGAAGAGAGAGAATCATGAGTGACTTCAGGACCCTCATCTGAAGAAGTAGGTTTGGCCCAGAAAAGCTCATGATACTATATATTTTTTTTTGTTCAACTCTAAGGTGCCACAGGTCTACTCGTCATTTTTAAGGAGCTTGGTTTGTTTAGCCAGGATGGGGAACCTAAGGCCTGGGGACTGGATTTGGCTTAAGGCTTGGGGCTCTCCCTACCACACATACATTGAGGAACCTATGCTGGTACTCCAGGCCACCCCACTGCCCCACCACAGAGCTGGAGCAACAATCTACCAAGCTGTCCCCCCTAGGCTCTGGTGTGGGAGGGAAATGGGAGTGTCCTTCTCCTTCTCAGTCAGACTGTCTACACAGCAATGTTATTTAGTCTGCGTCCAACCAGCAAGCAGTTATTACAACATAATGTCGACCTAATGTTGCTGAAGGACTTCTTACTCAGACTCCTGTAACCCTCATTTTACGAGTAAGGGAAGCCGGAGGAAGAGTGCTCTCAGACTTCCTGCTGTGCCGACAGTGCCAAAAGCCAAAATAAGTTATTTTGACTTAAGCTACGCAACTGACATAGCTCAACTGCACATCATATATTGGCTATAGCCCTACTGTGTAGACATGCCCTCAGAGGCCACATCAGTGAAGGTTTGTTTTGGGGGTTTGGCTGGGTTTTTTTTTTTTTTGCTTCTCACTTGTGTGTGCCTCCTGCCCCCGATTAATTTTAATGTGAGTCAGCAGCCCCCAAACCAAAAAAGGTTTTCCACCTCTGGGTTAGACTTGAGAGAAGATATGATTGCTTGCTTTAAACACAACAGACAGATAAACAACAGGAAGAGAGAGTGGTTATTTAAGATAAATGTAAATGTTAGTCCAACAGAGGAGAGCAGTTGAAAATATAAACTGGTCATGTCTGGGCTTGAAATTTGACAGATTTCTAATCATTAGATGAGTGAAATCTGAAACAAAACAAAACCTAACTGATTTCAAAACTGAACCTGATAAATTTATGGAGGGGACGAGGATATGATGAGATCACCTATGGCATGTGAGCCCTCTGCAACTGTTGGAAGTTAATATATCTAAGGGTTGAAGATGTGACAAGGTGTGGGGAGGTCCAAGTTACTGCACTGAATTCTTTCCCACGTGTCTGGCTGATGGATCTCGCTGACCTGCATGAGGTCATACTAGAGGATCATGATGTTCCATTCTGGCATTTAAGAATATGCAACTATTCACGGGTAAAATAGTTTTCCAGCCACTGATTAGAACAGGATATTTCTTTTGAAATGTGTTAAATTCAGAAAGTTCATTCAAGTAAATATTAAGCTCAGAAGTGAGTGAGCTCTATTACAATCCTTTATTCTGATTTCATAGGAAAATCCTGGTCTGGAACAGTCCCATAATACTGAACACAAAATGTGTGCATGAAGAATGCAATAAATGCACCACGATTCATGAACTAGATGTTGCATTGACAAATAATGTATGTTTGAATGCACATTACTTTGGAGAAGGAAAAGTGATATACACACACTTCTAGGACCAAAAAGACCTCAATGCAAACTGCAGTAATTGGCTCTGTATTAATTCAATGTAAATATTCTGATATTTATATACAATGCCAAAACTGAAGCACCGCTCTAAAAAGCCCTGCTAATAGACTGGAGTTTTTAGGATCAGAATACATAAATAGGATTTTATTTCTGCTAACATTTAAAAAAAATATTAAAGAAACTGATTTTTTGAGAAAGTGCATTTTCTATTTGCCACTCCTATTTTTCAGGTAAAGCAGTTAATTCTAACTTATTTTGAAAGGCTCAGCCAGATTGATCCAGTTGCTTGAGAACAAGTCTACTAAATAATGTTTTGCTATTTAAAAAAATTCTGGTGATCTTTTATTTGATGACCACTATCATGCTCTGGAATAGCATAATAAGCAGAAGGTACCGTATATTCCAGCGTACAAGACGACCTCTGATGTTAAAAAACATCCCCCAAAAATCGGGGGTCGTCTTGTACGCCGGGTATACATCCCAGGCGCGCCTGGGATGCCCCGCCGCCGGCTTCCCCCGAGGCTTTGCAAAGCC